CTATCTATCTATCTATCTATCTATCTATCTATCTATCTATCTATCTACCTTCCTTCCTTCCTTCCAGGTCTCTTTGCTAAATCTCTTGTTAATGCACTTCGTGCACAGACTCTGAGATTTGGTGAATAGCCCTCATTTGTTAGATTTATTGTGGTGGGATGATCTTTCCATTTTGTGATGGTGGTTTGAGATTGACTTCTCAGGGTTTTGCATATTGTTTTATAACCCAGTCCTGACTTGTATGTAACAGCTCATGGTTCTTATAGTGCCTCTTTAATAATTTATACTCTGGAAAAGATCTCTACAGTGCACAAGCTGCCGTCCCACCTGGGTTTTTTTGTTTTCTTTTGTCATGTCTTAGTCTGGTCAATTCCTGTTTTATTTTGAAATGGTAACTCTCCTCTTGTTTCTGGTTACTTGCTATTCCTCTTGTGCCACCATTCTGATTGTCTTCCCTAATTCCTGATTGTGTCCACCTGTTCCTGGATTCCCCTCATGTCTACTTCTAGTCTGCGTCTCCTCTGGTCTGGTGCCTTCTGTCACAGTGTGTTAGGGGAGGGATCCAATCTGCAGGACCGAGGGGGAGACACAGAGACCAGGAGCTCAGGGGAAAATCATTTATTCATGGGACAACAAAGAACGTGTCAGAAGCTGGATGCTGACTAAAACTAAACAGTGGGGAAAAGCCATTTCAAAACCTAGAATACAAAAAAACAAAAAACAGAGAAGAGTTGAGGCAGAAACCAGGAAGTAAGTGACGATGACGAGGTGATGACGAGTGATGATTGATGAAGATCTGGCACCAGGCAAGGGGTGACGCAGACTATAAGTACACATGAGGGGAAACCGGGAACAGGTGGACACAATCAGGGTTTAGGGGAGACAGACTGTTGGCACAGAGGAAGGGCAAGAAAAAAGAGGAGAGTAATTATTTCAGAATTAAACTGGAAATGAGACCAAGATATGACAAAACAAAGCCCCTTGAATTTGTGTATGTAAATATCAGTTTTTATTCTGGCCCAACAGATCCGGCGTCTCTAACATAGATCTTGTATTGTAAGGGAATGGTGGCATAAAGCACAGGCACCTGTCTTTGGCATATCCTAGCTGGTGTTAGGGGAGAGGCAGGGCCCTGCCAGTGATCAGAGTAAAAGGGCAGTGCAGAGGAACGATTGAACAAGGTTCCATACTGACTAAATGTCAGGCAGGGGGTCATTACACCACATAAAGGCACTGGCTGATGCAATGCGCCATTTGCTCGCTAATGACAAGTCTGTTTATTTGTGCGCTCAATAAACTCCACTACAGGCTAAGCTGGGGCGTGTGTGGCCCATAGCAGAGAGCAGGAGGCCCCCGCTTTCATAAAAAATGGGATTCACCAGCGGTGCATCTATCTGCTGGATCCCTGGCACCTGGTCACAGCTGGAAACGGCTGATCCACGGCTCTGGTTCAGCTCAAGCTGTCCCCTGTTCAGGGTAAAGTTCTGCTAGCAGGCTGTGATCATGGCTGGGAGCAGCTAGAAAAACACTGAGCACAAACGAGCAGTTGATGCTGGCTAATTACTGCTAGAGTCATCGTAATCGTCTTCCTCACTGACAGTGACTTTAATATCCACAGTACTGTTCACAGAGTGTACAGTACAGCTCTTATACTCAGCCTAGCCCACAACAATTGGTATGCAGAAACTCAGCGGAGGTGTGTCCAACCTTTAGTCATAGCTCACAACACTGCACCATCCAGATG